ATGAATTAACACCTCCCCCGGGTTTTCCAGCTATTAGCAGTTTGTTTTCTTTTAGTTTTTTCAATACTCAAAAATTCAACAGGAACAGGTTTGGTGAAACGATGCGGGCATCATATTCCAGTACGACGTAAAAGTTGGAAAACTGTATGGCTAATTTCTATACCTTTACATTTTTTTTACGCTCAGAAAGTTCGATTTTCTTGTATATTGGGGAGTTTTGGTTAGTGCTTTTAGTTTCTAGTGTGTCCAATTTCGATTCCTTGCAACAGCTTTATTTGTTAACAAATAATCATATCAGTTCAAGCGGAATTGTACTCAAAACCTCTGTATTGTTTCTATTTGTAAGGCGGAGGCACTCAGAAGTATTCTGACAGTAGCAGCTGCTAACAGTAACCACCATCTGCTGAGGTTTCCAATATGATCCACTTATTTCAAAATTATTTGCAAGCAAGCAAAAGTATAGGCATATAATGGTCTGCAATGCCCATAATACACTTTCTCAAGCTTGCGGTAGCTTTTGAGTGTTGTATTTCCTTTCGTTTCTTTCCTCTCCTAAATTTTTTTTTCTCATTTTAGGGATAACACGATTGTTTGTTGTTTTTCATATAAATCGTAGCGATTGAAGCTGATGATAAATGATGAAATTGAAATTTTTTCAGTTTTGTTTCAGTGGTGAAAAAATTCTTGTCTTTGTTTTTGCTGTTGCTTGATTGTTACTTGCTGGACACGGTCATTAGCAAATGGTATTTGTTCACTTAGTTTTGTTAATGGTTATTAATAATCGCTCATTCATTTCTTTAATTTTCATTCTGACCCATATTTGACATTGCAGAAATTTTATTTTGCTTGTTTTGGTTCAAGCTGAAGTATTTGTGATCGTGTGTATGAAGTTTTTTTTTTGATGTTCTCAGGCGAGATTGGTGTCCTAAGTCCAGGAATTGTCCGGGAGTTGAATTATTCAAGACTTTTTTGCAAAATCTTTGTATGCCGCGGCGATCTATACAGGTTGCGGTAGCTGCACTGAGTTAAAGTCTGCAATAAACTAGCCAAAGAAAAATTATAAAAATTTTTTCAGTGAGACGACTGAGTTCTAAAAAAAAAAAAATTCAGCCTAAAAAAGTAACTTCTTCCTGTACAGATTTTTAGCATATCTGGTTCCTATACTGTTGTTTAGGATAAAAAATATGCATAACTTGTCTCTGTTATTGTCTTGATGAACAGCAGTTGCTCATTTTTTAGCAAAAATGGACTGATTTGCATGAATTTTGTTGTTTTTCAGTTCTCTCCTTGCTTTCAGCACTTCTCAGCAGATCTAGACTTCTCTTAACAAACCGTGGTTAAGCTTATTTCCGCGAGGAAAAAAAAACAGACCAGAGTCGGTTTTCCCAAAATGAGAGGAATAAAAAAACCATGAATTTGGTACTTTGTGATTAGCTGTTGTGTCATTGTTGCGTTTCTTCTCGTCACTGATGTAGCTGACAATGTTCACTCTTCATGACATGAAACATCTGTGATTTTTACGTTATTGGCTAAATTCAGAATTTTATTTTTTGCCTGGTTTTTTTTGACTGTTTTACTACCTTCTGTGCTGTATTTTTTAAGTTTCGCTAAAAGTTCTTTTGCATCAAGATATCACTGGATGTATGCGTTTTCTTAAGTGCACATCGCAGTTGATTTTAAAGAGCTTTTTGGTAACTCTTCCAAGAGTTCACAGCGCCTCAGATGCAAATTTTTTAGGTAACTGCAAGAAACAATGTAGCCTTCACCACTAAACCAGGTTTTTTTTTTTGAGTACGATGCCCATTTTGCGGCATTTCGTTGTGTCAGATATCTCAAGGCTTTTCGAGGATTGTTTCATGAAAAAAAAAATATTGTCATAACATGTTGGAGGACATCCTTTCTTTGATCCACCGCTCTCTCCCTTTTAAATTATACGTTTCGTCTCTCCTGCATCGACTGACGCTGCACCGTCATCTGTGCACACTTCACGGGATTCGCTTTTTTAGTTCCATTCAGTTCCCCAGTTCGCTTCAAATACCGAATCCTGACAGATGAAGGAAATTGCCATCGTTTGACACTTTTGCATTTTTTTGCATTGGATTGTTTTCGACAACAAATTTGCCAGTTCTCGCGATTGCCATATTCCCTGACAATGAGTGGTTTTATTGGATTGCTCTGGGAACTTGCTGAATTGGGGCTTCACAATTCGGGTTGGAGGACGTGTCGAGGAACAACAGCGTCCAAATTGTTGCCTACGATTGTACGTCCAACCACGAAATAAAAGCATTTTAATTAAAAATCGGAATTTTTTCCGTATTCATTCTACATGGG